ATGGTTTCTCCGTAGATTTGCAGGCAAAGCAACTGTAAATATATGTCTGATTTCAGGCATTCTAGGATGTCATAGTCCATATGGCATGCAAGTCATATGCAGACTAGAGAAATCCACAACAAACATTACATTTGTATTTATATAGATGTGTTAGTTTAACTAGCTAGATTTCACATCTATCTTATTATCCTAGTAGGATTTCATCCCTCCTCTCTGGGCTCAGGCATCTCAAGCAGCCCATGGAGAAGGAATAGTAATACCAGCTTCAATAATAATAATAATAATAATAATAATCATCATCATCATCATCATCATGATCATCATCATCTTTATTTATTTATTTATTTATTTATTTATTTATTTATTTATTTATGAGACATGCCGCATTATCACAGTGTGTCTGCGCCCTACACCACTGGAGAAATTACACTGTTTAGCCGGTATTGCACCACCTGACATCCGCCGGGAAGTAGCAGCCAATAGTGAAAGGACCAAGGCAGAGACATCTCCAGCTCATCCCTGTTTGGGTATCAGCCAGCACGTCAACGACTTAAATCTAAAAATAGTTTTCTAAGATCTACAGAGATACTCGCTGGAACACCCCAGCAAGTGAGAGTCCAAAAGTGGCAGGCTCAAACCCAGAACCTCAATCAATGGCTGATACCAAATGAGACTCCCCCCTGGGCACACAGAAAACTGGGCGACTTGGAAGGCACTGAACAGACTGCGCTCGGGCACCACAAATGAGAGACTCCCCCTGGGCACACAGAGGACTGGGCGACTTGGAAGGCACTGAACAGACTGCGCTCTGGCACCACGAGATGCAGAGCCAACCTTCAAGAAATGGGGCTACAAAGTGGAATCCTCGACATGCGAGTGTGGAGAGGAGCAAACCACTGACCACCTACTGCAATGCAACCTGAGCCCTGCCACATGCACAATGGAGGAACTTCTTGCAGCAACACCAGAAGCACTCCAAGTGGTCAAAGGACATTTAATCAACTACCAAACTCACAATTTTGTATTTTGTCTGGGTTTTTGTTTTGTTTTGTTCTGTTAGAAATGTAATATAATCGACTGGTTGCACTGACACTATAAAATAAATAAATAAATAAATATCATCTTTATTTATAACCCGCCACCATCTCCCCAAAGGGGACTCAAGGCAGATAACATGAGGCCAAGCCCAAAATAATACAACATGATTAAACATAAAATAACAAAAATACATCATAACAAAATATATAAATAACAAATAAAATAAACAATATAAAATAGGATAATCAAATCAAACACCGAGAGCGAGCCTGATGTATGAGGTAAAATGTTAAAAGGTTAAAACCCTGGGTGAGATAGGGATGAAAGTGCATTTGTAAGAGAGGGAGCCCTGAAGGGAGGAGCAATTGAGTTTGGTCTTATAGGGGGACATGGGAAGGTGCTTTAATCTAAGGGCAACTACAGGTGGAATAACTTGATGGGTTGAGTGGTCACTCTCCACATCGGAACAGCCACATTTTTAGATCTTTCTTGAAAGCAGCTAGGGTAGGGTAGTGAGTTTCAAAATTGGGGGGCCACAGTGGAGAAGGCCTTCTTTCTCATTCCCACAAGTCGAGCCTGTGAAAGAGGAAAGGGTGAAAGAAGGGCCTCTCGAGAGGATCGGAGGGATTGTGCAGGTTTATGGTATGAGATGCGGTCACAAAGGTAGGTGGGTCCCAAACCGTTTAGGGCTTTATAGGTGATGACCTGCACCTTGAATTGGGACCTGAAGATAAACTGCAGCCAACAGAGCTCCTTAAACTCCTTGCTTTCATCCTATTTAGCCCTTAAAAATAGAGACAAAGCCTGGAATCACTTGAGGTGTCATTGGGATGCCTCAGGTATAAAATAAGACAGGTCTCGTGTTTTGGGTCTGTCTGGAAGGGCCAAATAACCCCCAAATAACAGCTGGCCTGAAAGAAGAAGGTTTCAGATAGTAAGGTAGTCAGATTTTGATTGAAGACTAGGTCCACCTAATGACTTCTGGTTTTATAATTTTCTTGTGCTGAACAGCACCAGAATAAAGACACTTTGTTACTTGTTCTTATGGATTTTTTTGCCTTTCAGTAGCTTCACAACTCCACCGGCCAATTTGCAGCTATCTACAGGAGGGCCAATTTGCAATAGTCCGCAATTTACAAAAGAAAAAAACATGAGGAATTGTTTAAATAAAAAAGAAGGTAACTGCCATGTGATCAGCCAATTCCTTAGATAACAGGGAAAATTTTGCCCTGAAATTTTAATGAATTTATCTCTTTTTGTTCATTTAGTCATGTATCTATATAGAGCAATATTTAGAGATATCTGATTTCTGCCACAATATATGTCAGTGTTAGAGAATCAGCTCCTGATTTGTTTGGCTTTACAAGCAGAAAGGATATGCTGGTTAATACTGATTTGAATCTGAAGAGGAGTTTTTGGCAACAAATTGTGTTACAGCTGGTAAATGTGGAGTTTGGATTATTTATGGGATATGAGAAATGTGTACACTAGGCTTGGGCGGTTTTGTTCGTTAATTTTGTAATTCGTTATTAATTCGTATTTAAATTAGATTACGATCCAATATTGAGCCATGCAGAAATAGTGTGAGGAGTAAATTAGATTCGAAACAATTTTTTCAATTTATTTCGTAATTATTTTGTTATTATTTCGTAATTATTTCAAAATTATTTCGTAATTATTTTCGCATGTCTGGTGCAAGTTTTATAGTTGTTGTTTGTTTTATCACACCAACAGTCAACAACAGAGGGAGAGGGAAGCTTCAGAAATTCCCCCTGTCCCATTTGGAGGTTTTTTTAGCATATTGCGCAATCGTGTCCGCCATTAACGAATCGATTCGTAATTTTACGAAATTTCGTATATTTCAAAATTTTTAAAAGGAAAATTTTGGAATTATTAAAAAAAACAAAACGCAAGGTCCCCCTAAAAACAAAACGAGTTCAGAATCAAACACTGCACGTACACATTCTAGAAGGGAGTTTGCTTCTGAACGGTTTGGATAATCGCATTTCTGTGTACAAACCCACACGGTCTCTTCATTCATCTGGAGAGGCCCTGCTCTCGCCTCCCTCACAGGCGCGATTGCTGGGGACAAGGGAGAGGGCCTTCTCAGTGATGCCCCCAGACTCTGGAACTCACTTCCCAGGGATATCAGGCATGCCCCAACATTGGAAGTCTTTAGGAGGAGCCTGAAAACGTGGCTGTTACAGTATGCCTTCCTGGAAGAAGGAAAAAATTCCCAGCAAAATGTCCTCAAATGCACTTTAACTTATCCGCTTGGATTACGCTCCCCTTACTTCTTTAAAACCCTCCTATTAGATATATCCTACCTTGTTCATGCCCAGCGTTTATTTTTTAATTTTTAACTATTACATCTGGCCCGGTCATAGGTTTTTTAATCCTTGCATGTTAATGTTTATATGTGATTTATTTAACAGTATTGTTGTTATTTTTGTTTATTGCTTTCTTGTTTGTTGATGTGTTGTTGGGCTTGGCCTCATGTAAGCCACTCCGAGTCCCTTGGGGAGATGGAGGCGGGGTATAAATAAAGTATTATTATTATTATTATTATTATTATTATTATTATTATTATTTGGGATATTTTGGTTATTCAGCAGAATGGAGAGAAGTAAATTTTGAAGTATAATAAATGTAGTAAATATTTCTATGCATACTACTATACTTCAGAATGAATTGTAAGTCTTGCAAATGGAAGGACTACCAAAGCAAGGTGTGCCCCATTCTATTGAGAGTCCTGGGAGTTACAATATGGCTGTCTCAACAAGAGACAAATCCAAATCATTTATTCTTCATTCCGAACGATAATAGTATCTTCTCTTATTACACAAACAATTATATTAGTAGTATTCTAAAGAAACTCATCTTCTAAAAAGAAAAAGAAAAGAAGTCTGCTGAAAATTAGTCCAAAATAGCAACCCGAAGCATGTTATTTTGAGCATGCTGAAATGCATGCACCTCACACAGACAGCCACCCCTTGTATATAGGATGGTGATTTGGAAAGTGGATGTGTAGGTATAAGAAGCTACTTTTACTAATGCAGATAAGCGAATGTGATTTTCCAGGTAACTTTCTTCACAGGGAGGATATTGATGTTGTTCCAATGTTTCCCTTTCTATGGGCCCTTCCAGAAAGGCTCTATATCCCAGGATCGGATCCCAGATTTTCTGCTTTAAACTGGATTATATAAGTCCACACTTCCTGATGATCTTGGTTGAACAGAAAACCTGGGATCAGATCGTGGGATGTAGGGCCTGTCTGGAAGGGCCCCATGTCACCTGGAAGTTGAGGAGGAATACAAGATATATAGATGGATGGATAGGTAGACTATGGAACACTTTCAATAACATCTGAGAAGAAAGGGCTATGACAATGGGCCTCATTGCCTCTCCTTTTGTCCACTGCCAAGAGCTTTAGAGGAAGCAATGGATTAGGGCCATAATCTTGGAAGACCAAGGCACAGGAGCCATCTTTCTCCACACCCTTGACTGGATATTATCCCCAAACTATCAGAATAGAGATTTACAAAAAGGTATTTGGAGGCCACTGGATGGTGAGCACTCAGCAACTTCATAAATTGGTTTGCTTTTCAGTGACCAAGGGAGGGACCAATGCCCACTGATGTCACACAGTAGGGCCAAGAGCACATCAGGTAATCACAACCTTTTTGTTCAGCATACAATTGCCTACATTCTAGGGACTACTTTGCTAATCCCTTCTGAAGAAATTGTAGTCTCAGTTTAAGAACCACTGCAGCAAGCGATGTTGAGAAAGAAATGTTATAGATAGCCAAATATCATTCAGCATGCAGATAAATATTAGCTTCCTGTATCTTTTGGTGATGCATAGGTAGATATCTTTGGCATGCCGCTTGTGCCCACACCTCAGTCATTATTTTTCAGAAGCATTTCTTTACTCCCATGATTACTGAAAACAGATCACTTACTTGATCGCTGGTTTTTGATGAAAAATAGTTTTAGCCTTTCTTTAAATGTATTTTCATTCATGTAGAATTCAACTTCTACCCTAAAAAGGAAAAAAAAGAGTACATGTTAATCCATTTGTTAAATGAAACAAATAATTATGCACAATAGAATATCTGGTATTTATAAATGTATATGTTTTTCCCAAAATACACAAGTACTTTCATACATGTTTATAGTATCAGGGAAGGAAGGTATCTCTTGCAACCATGATTCAGTGAACTATAAATTGCAGTATGTTTTAATGTCCTATGCTAGATATATCACAGTTTTATCCTGCACAGTATAATGCATACACTAAAATATTCAAGTTTATCACAAGAACAGTTAGTTTCTGGGCAATTCATTCCACAGCAACCTAGCAAGTACTGCAATGCATAGCAAAGAATCCAAGGACTGGGCAGTAGAACAGATCAGCTAGAAGAGGAAGAGGAAGAGGAAGAAGAAGAACTTTATTTTTCTACCCCGCCTCCATCTCCCTGAAGGGACTCGGGGCGGCTTACATGGGGCCAAGCCCAGGGAACATACAATTAAAAGCAAAGCAAAAACAAAATACAATTTAAAAATAAAAAAACAACATAATAATAGACAAGCATCAAGCAACAGACACATCAGAAGATTCTGCATATTTCCCAACTTTTTTCATGCATTCAAAAGTTTGGAAAAGTTTTCAGACCAAAGAAAAAGTATAGTCTAAAATGTTTGTATACTTGTGTAGCATCAAGCAACAAAAACTATCAAAACCTAATTTGAAAAAAGGGGGGGAGGTCAATATACAAGCTGATTAAAGAGTAATTGCTTCAATAAGGTGGATGAAAATGCATAATAGCATAGGAAATATCATGAAAACAGAGCAATATAACAGGATCAGAAACAATTTGGTTTGACTTACAAAATCTGAATAGTAATGTAATATAGGAAATTCAGGTTGAATGATAATTAGGTCGCAATATAGGTCATATGTCAAGGGTGTCATCAGTCAAATGCACAACGAAATATGCTTTTAATTCCTTATGGAATGTGGGTAGGGAGGGAGCCAGCCTGATCTCCCTGTGGAGAGAGTTCCAGAGGTGAGGGGCCACCACCGAGAATGCCCTTTCCCTCATCCCCACCAATCGCGCCTGAGACGGGGGCAGGAGAGAGAGAAGAGCATCAGAATCAGCTACAGCATACAACCAGGTGTCTACTTGTAGAAAAACAGCTCTGTACAAAAATGGTATAAACTCAGTTTTACCATGGTTGTGCTGGTACGGCTGTACCAGGAGCTCCAACTTCCTTGTCTTTCTTTGAGTATTTGCATGTATTCCAAAGTTCCATGCTGTAGTGAAATCATACCTTTGCTTCACAGGCTGCAGTCAGTGAGCAGGCCTCCATGTTGGGAGGGTAGCTCAGGATAGCTGACATTTTGGTAAGGCAGAGAGGCAAGGGGAGGAGTCAGCTAACCTGATTGGCTCAAACCCCTAGGGGAGGAGTTGAAGGAGTGTGTAAAAAATCTGTACTTTCTGTCAGAGGGGAGAAGAATTATTTGATCTAGAAGAAGATGGTTTTGATCTAAAAGAGAGAAGAGGGATTTGATCTGAAAGAGATAGGATTAGGATTTTCAGGCAGGGAGAAGAAAGTTTCTGAGTGAGTTAGAATTAGACTGGGAGGGAATAATAGAGGGCAAGTGCTTCAGGGTACTTTGGCTTGGACAGTCAAATAGAAGGCTTGTTGACTTGTATTTGGAGAGAATACAAGTGGGTTTATTTCCCTACAGTGCAGAGTAGTCTAGAAGGAACCTAGTTACTCTCGCAGACAGCCAGGGCGGCTGGTCTGAGAAACACACTGTTACTTGTTATAGAATAGTGTGAGGAATGTAACTCACATCAAAGAAAAGTTACTCTTTCTTAAGCAACCATTTATTTTATAAGTCTGTGCCTCAGAAACCCACTACGGCATATGTACCACTCAGTAATGAGTTGTCTGTTTCAAATATTTCAATAAACCTGTTCTCTAGTTTACTTTTAATCTGCCTCAGCCTTGTTTTGTCATTTAAAGCTAGTTCCAGTCAGCCTCTACATCTCTGCAGTTCAGTCACAGGAAAGGGAGCCAAAAAGAAGAACCGGTGTATAGGGACATTTTACCTCAAGTATATTATCTAGTTAATTCCTCAACCAGTGATTTGGGGTGGTGGCAGCAAACCTACCATATACACACACCTTTCTCTCTCATCACTTGTAACACCCTCACATATTCCTGTCACACAGGAGCAATAAGAGACCCTGATCTCTTAACCCCCTTTACACATGAATTTTGCAATAAGGTGGCTTCCCTTGGTTTGCAGCCACCTGCCTATCGTCTTTTCAAGCTTCCAAACTTTTCAAGCTTCCAAAGACATATAGGAAAATCTTTAGGGCCTCTCACTCGAGGCACCCCGGCTTCCCACTGGGCACAAAGAGCACGTCCTGTTCAAAAGCCAATTGCTATAGGCCCAGCATGTGACAGCACAATGGTGTTAATATTTGTACTTTCAATACTGACATGGTTTAATGTCATCACATATTGAATATTGAAAAATTAACTTCAAAAAGAAAATGTCAAGCAAGGGCATGAAGGCGTACAAGTGCACACAGACCTAGAATATTAACTAAAAAGAAAATGCTGTTATAATTAGATTCACACAGTTTTGAGCTGCATACCTGTATTTTCAAAACGAAAATCACAGCACTTGTAGCAGGAAAGAACAGCATGTTAACAGTAAGAGGTCATGCATTGTTAATGAGGGGAGAAAGTGTAGGAGCTAATCATTTTGCTTTAAACTCCTATTATGAATGGCTTTGATGACCTAATAGTGCCCTGTGTTGTTCTGCTTCCTATTCCTTAACAACTCTAACTGCCTAGTAGACTGGCATTCCTTTGTGATGGTTTCCATGACAAAAAGGAAAAAGGGTTTCCAAAAGCACTTCACTAGTTTCATGTTCCAACACTCTTTCAAACTTCACTGACAGGTTGGCAGGTTTCTTGGTTTCTGGTTCTGCAATATCAAAGTAGTCCCTAAAAAGCTAGAGCAAAAAGTCTAGAAAAAAATGCAAAAATCAGATGACAGTTAGTAACCAGTGTGGAGATATAAGCTAAAAGCCTAATCTGCACCTCTTGAACCAATAGGCAATTCCAGAATGTGCCACGCACAATACTCCATACTGCCCCACATTTTTGCAATATGTTCTTCTTTTGCAATATGTAGCTAAAATGCACATGCAATATTAATGGCAAAAAATGTGCAAATACTGTATATTGCTGGAAATTAGGCACAAAAACACAATGCATAAGGGAAAACAAAATGTGTTTTTACAGAGAAAGTGACTGATATTCATTTGGTAAGAAACTGAAGGATTTAAATAAATTCAAGAAAAATATGCTACTTAAAATGCATTGAAAATGTGAATGTGCCTTGTAGCTGAGACAATACAGTTTCTTCTAATTGACATCCAGCACTACTTTAAGCAGAAAGGCATGACACCTCTGATATGCAAAACTACAGTTGGCCGTCCATGGTTTTGGTTTCTGAATATCTGATTATTTGTAGATTTGATTAAAATATTCTCTTGGTGCAATTTTTACAAGAAACTGATCATAGGGTCATACTGAAGGATCTACAGCTCCATAGAGAAGCATTTTCTCTAGGAATCTCTAGATTCTTCAGCTGAAGCTAAGTATAGAGTCATGCTGGGGGACACCGAAATTCTTAGAGAGGTGTGACCGACTGTCTGCGCAGGGTTCCAAACTTTGCACTTCAACAACACAACCATTCAATGCTAAGATTCCCACCAAAATGAAACTGTAGAGGAGAGTCTACCTGCCGCATACCAACACTGCCATCTGTTGAGGAGTTACTAAGGCGGAGGCATTACTTTTCATTCAACCCTCGTATTTTCTTAAAAAACCACAAGGGGGTTCTGGGAATTGAAGTCCCAAGCACACAGCACAAGAGGATAGGAGAATGGACACTTACTGGCTGAGAAAAAAGTGGGGATCACAGGGATAGAAAAACCTCAACTCCCATCATGCCCTGGGAGGGAACACAGGCTCCTTCAATGCCCGCACTGCCCAAAGTGCTGTTGGGAAAGCAAGTTCCCATTTTCCTCAAGTGGGAGCTGAGGGGTGAGCTTTGGGAAGGGATGGAGGAGGCTGCCAGGTAGGAAAGAAAAGGAGGAGCTGCAGCTTGCCTGATTTGCAAGGCTGCCACATGCTGCCTCTGCCTCAGGTAGAGTGTTGCTCAGCCCCATTCACCCCAAAAATCTGGTTGCTGTGATCCGTATCAGCTAACGCTTCGGTGCCCCCCCCCTCCAACCAGGCTCATTTTTATGCATTTGGTGGCCGAATCTACTGAATACCCAGAATCTGGGATACTAAAATGTTATTGTGCACACTCCTACTGGTTTCTACAGTTTGAAGGCACTCTCTTGCAAGGCACTGTGAAAGAGGTGGCTTGGAGAATCACCTCTCCCACTTCCCCGAACATCCCTGAGGAAAGTGTCACTATTCATATTTTGTGTTGGGTTGCGACCAGGTGGAGAACTTCCACTTGATTCAGCCGAAGAACTAAATTTAGCTGGTTGGGTGTTAGCTAAATACAAAATGAGGGCAATGGGAGTACAGTATGTAGAACCTCTACACTGTCATGTTAAGAAATCTAAAGTGGAACTGTACGAACAGATACACGGTCTGTCAACACCTTCCTTATCAATCAACATAACCTGCCACCAAAGTTTGGACCCAAAATGTTAGCACATTAAAGCATTTGACGAAAGATTAATCTTGTTAAAAGCATTTTTACACATCTATTTGTGAAACCTCTAAGAAAGAAGTTCTTCTTAAGTGATTTATGCAACCTACAGGACTTTCATCCTTGGCACATTCTCTTCCCTTCTATACTATTTTTGTGACAGTACGGGCAATTTCTCACAGATCAAACAGAACACTGCTCTCAAAGAGGATGCTATTATACTCAGGTCCTACTGTGGGCTTCTCCATGTGCATTTTTTGATGATGTATTCATATTCA